TTCTGGCTAGCTGGAACGGACAGTCCACGTGCATTTCTGGACCGTCCGTTCCGGCTTTCGGATTTTTCGAAAATTAAACCAAAATTAGGGTTAAATCACTTTATAAGAAGGAGATTAAAACCCTAATAAGTGGAGCCGACTTTGAAGAACTTATACAGACTTTGGTGAGATCGAAAAGGTTCTAAGAGGTGATCTAAGTCCCGTTTTCTCGAAGCAACATACCGAATAGTTGATTCGGGTCCTAGCAGACAAGTTTTCGTTGGAATCCATCCCGAGGTGTGGATACGGCGACGTAATCTTCCTCCCTTTCGTGGTCGGTCGAACACAACAATTGATACAGGCCCCGAATCGATTGAGGTAAGCGTTCTAACGTTTGTAGGATTCATACATGCATGGTTCTAGGGTTTCATAAAATTTTTGTTTTACATCCGCTGCGCAAACCCTAGAATCGATCTCTTAGGAATGGGATTCGCTTTAGAGATCCCAGGAATCCCAACAGTGATATCAGAGCCTGGTTGCTCTGTTTGATTTCGTAGAATCCAATCACGCACGTTTTAGGATTTAAATTGTTAAATCCATATTTCATTTGATTTCTATGCATGTTTGATGATTGAATCTATGGTAGATTGCATGTTTCATGTTGCATAGAGTGCAGGAGTTCAAATTTTGGGTCTACAGATGAATTTGGATGTGTTTCGGGGCCGAGAAAGTGGAAAAACGTGATCTGATCACGTAACCCTAGACCGTCCATTCTGGGTATGCCAGACCGGACGGACCAGGGGTGGCGGACTAGGGCTACGGAACGGGAGGTCGAACCTCGGACTGCAAGTCTGGACCGGAGGTCTGAGTGTCAGACCGTCCTTTCCAACGGTTGAGGCAAGACCGTTCGTTCTATGGCTAGACCGTCCGTTCTGCCAAGGCTGGACCATCCGTTCTACATCCAGAACGGACAGTCCGAGGTACAAATTCTGAAATTTTTCGTTTTCTTAGTCCGATTATGCAATCGTTGCTTAATCTGATCAACTGTGACTCAAATAGACATGATTCGTTCTTATGGATGGTCCATAGTGAATGAATACATGTAACTTAATCAAGATATAGGATATGTTTGATTGAGTGAGAGCTTCGAGATTGGGATTACATAATCGAATGGATGGTCTATTCGGATTATGTAATACATCTGATCAAGGAACAATAGTTGATCTTTGATAGTACAATCGTTGCACAAAAAACCGGTTAGATCTAGGAGCTCTGCGAGTAAAGCACTTGTCAAGGCCTCGATCGTACGTGTCATGGGCCATGCCAAAGCTCGATGTGTCGTATTATCTTGATGAGGCAAGATGGAGAAATGGTGGTTCTCATAGCTTGAAAGTAGATGCTTGATCTAAGTGTGGTTTCGAAAATCCCTTTTATGTAATGTTAAACGTGTACCTTCCATTACTAGAGTGCCTGTCAAGGCGTCGATCGTCCGTAACACGGGTCATGCCAAAGCTGAGCGTGCCGGATTATCTTTATGAGGCAAGGTAGGGAATCGTGGTTCCCACAGCTTGAATATGGTTTACCTTAGGTTAAGTTGTCGAGTTTGACTTGAGATTTAACCGTACAGATGAGACGAGTATGCAATGATATTTGATATCATAGTCTCATAAAAGATCTAAGAGTCACATTGGATGTGATTAACATTAGATGTCTACCTAAATAGCGTAAGGCTGAGTGTAACAACTCATTCTTATGTGAAATACGGATCTTAGTCCCATATAGAAAATTATTGTAGGGTTATTTTCTTTATGGTAATATAGCTTGTATGTGCATCTATGTTGTTATTGATTGATGATGGACTAGCTGGTAGTAGATCATTGATAGAATCTGCACTTTGTTTTGTTCGTTCTGTTTTGTCTTTTTCTGTAGGACATGGCGTCAACCGGTAGCGTACCGAGTTTGACAATGCGATCTATCCTTGAGAAGGATAAGCTGACCGGGACGAACTTCTTGGACTGGTATCGTAACTTGAGAATAGTTCTCAAGCACGATAAGAAGTCGTACGTCCTGGAAGGGGCTCTGCCACCAGAGCTTGCGGCCAATGCCACGAGAGCCGTCAGGGATGCTTCGTTGAAGCATCAGACTGACGACAATAAGATCTCCTGTCTCATGTTGGGAAGCATGACCCCGAATCTGCAGAGGCAGTTTGAGGGGAAGAACGTGTTTGATATGATCAATCAGCTCAAGACCATGTTTGAGGAGCTAGC